AGTTTATGAGATTGACATTCAGCGAAGGTATGTATTCAGGAAAAGTAGCCAATTTAAAAAAAAGAAAACTTCAGTACAACTAGTAGGAGCCATTAATGAAAAACTTAATGCAGACTCCATTTGGAACTACACATCTGTGAACAAATGTTCAATGGGATATTGTTGGTAGTAACAAGGAAGATGAATGGGCCTAAATGTCCATCACTATGAAAATGGAAAATGAAATTATGGCCTATCAATACAATGTAGTTCCATATAACTGCAAAGGAAGAAACTAGAACCATGTGTAATATGGATAATGTTCAGAAACAGTTTTTGAGCAAAAGAAGAGACGCAGGCAACAGAGGCATGTGTAAAGGTCGAAACCATTTATGCATCATTTAGGAACGTATAAGATGATATGAAATCTTGAGTTTATTATTTTAGATACATTCATATGTAATAGAGGTGAAAACGCATGCCTAGAAGTGGTGTGCACTGTGTTGTGATAATGGCAGCTTCTGGAAAAAAAGGAATGAGGTCCCGGGAGGGCCCTGAAAGGGCTTGTGTGGCTATTTTCATGTCTGAATATTCACAGTGGTGGTGAAAATGTAGGTTTTCCTTTGTTATTCTATGCACTTCTATGGACACTGATTTTTTTTAATTGGAGATTATTTTCTTTAAAAAATCCCTTTGAAGAAATTACAACAGTGATAATTTGTAGACTTATATCCACAGCCAAAGCATTCTGGGATGTTCTATTTATTTTGCAAAGCTGTCATGGAACTGCTGGGGCTTCCTAAAAATATATGCTGCCCCATTTCCCACACATTGAGAAAATTCCCTCAGAGTGTTAAGCATAAAATATTGAAAATCTGAGCAACCCAGCAAGATATAACTTCTAGGACCAAAAGCAGGAAAAAACGCAGGAGGAGGGGATACTAACAGGGCAGTGTTCTCTTCTTTGGATTTTAATCACCTATTTGTCTTCTTCCAACAATTTCTAGAAATATGATGTCTCCTATAAGCACAAGAAAAACAAAATGTACCCATAAAGACCAAACAATTAGAGAGTGTTTAGTAACTCTCATAACATTCTCCACGTCATGTCTACTGCACTAGTGGACATACCTTGTCAGACCAGGCATTACTGCAGCCTGCAAGGTTCACAGCTGGGGAAGTTCCACGAGAACTGCCCTCCAGTAGCTTGTATCACATCTTATGGCACTATGGAAGCTAGCATGGAAGGATGGAGCTTGTCAGCACCAGCTTGATCTCTCCATGCTCTGAGAAGCAAGCATGTGATGTCTACAGCAATGGGATCTTAGCATCAAGTTCTTGAGAGTAGCCAACAGCAGTAGTAACAACCTGGAGTGTGTGTGTGTGTGTGTGTGTGTGTGTGTGTGTGTGTGTGTGTGTGTGTGTGTGTGTGTGTGTATTGTATTATATATGTGTATTCCACAATACCATAGTGCATCTTTTAGCCTTCATCAGAAAAGCTTTATTTTTACAGTAGATGACGGTTAACAACTGGTCAAAGTACAAAAAAAAAAAAAAACCTGTGATTGTGATGAAGTTCTCAGCCTTAAATGAAACCTCTGTATCTTATCGATTCCTCCCAAGGCTCAGGGATCATGGCAGAAAAGCGGCAAGAAAGAGACAGAGGCATCAGGTGACTACAAGACAGCAGTGTTTTCCATACACAACAGGGCAACTGCATGTATGAACTCATAGTGGTCGTAACAGCATGCACAGAGTCTGTGCAAAATCAAACCAGATAAAATTCCAGCATGGAGGGAGGAGATGGGGACAGGAAGTCTCATTCCTAGATCTGGAGGTGTGGGCAATTGATAGCTAGTAGAAGAGAGGATGTCGTGTTCTCTAGGTTCTGGGTAGGTTCACCATGCTTCAGTGGAAGGACTCACATCCAAGAATATATAGGCTGCACAAACTGGACTCAGTGAGTTTCTTTTTAAAAAGATACAAATGTGGGCAGTGAGGGAATGGAGGTGGATCGGGAAAGAATTACAGGAGAAGTGAATATGATCAAAATGTGTTTTATGAAATTCTCAAAGAATTAATTAAAAAATTTAAATGATAAAATATCTTTATTAAACTATGTCAGGGTTGATTTCAGAACAGATTTATTCCTAAAAAGCCAACCAAAATTTTGATAGGACAGCCATATGTCTAAGCAAAGATAATGAATTATTTCTATTTATTTAACTTGGGTTCTATTTCTTTCCTTTAATAGATAGGTTTTTATAATAATAGGCTTTTATTTACAAAGCCAAGTTTTATAATACTTTATAACTTTGAATAAAAAATAATATTTAATAAACAAAATATTATAAACCTAAAAGAGGTAGTTCAAATGTAAGGGCTTATACTTAAACCTCTCCCCTAATGGAAATGTAAAAAAAAAAAAAAGGAAGTGTCACTTGCTGTTCTTCCAGAGGACCTGGATTTGGTTACCAGCACCCACATGGAAGCTCACAACCATTTATAACTTCAGTTCCAGGGTGTCCGATGCCATCTAATTACCTTCCTAGGCAGCAGACATGCACGTGGTACATAGACATACATGCAGTCAAACACTCAGACACATAAAGTAAAATAGGTAAATCCTTAAAAAGTATAAATAAAATTTAGGGTAAAATCTATTAAGAACCATGTTGTCTCATTTCAAGAAGAGAAGCAAACAAAGAGAGCTTTCCAGTGATGTGTAGGAGAGGATCTGTGGTCTGAAGTTGTCAGGTATATGTAGTATTTGGGAGAGTCACTGTAATTCCAATAGCAGTGATTCTCAATTCCTAATGCCATGATCCTTTAATACAGTTCCTCATGTTGTAGTGACCACCAACCATGCAACTGTTTTCGTTGCTACTTCTTACAACTATAACTTTGTTACTGTTATAAATCATAATATAAATATCTGTGTTTCCTGATGGTCTTAGGCGACCTCTGCAATAGGGTACTTTGACCCCTCCCAAAAGGGGTCATGACCCACAGACTGAGAACCGCTGATCTATAGCCTTATTTTCTACACTTGTAAATGACAATGGTAAGATTTCTATGGCGACCAAGTGATCATTATATGTTTTTAAGTGCCAGTTTAAATATCTAAAAGATCACAACATAAGAAATTCAGAGGAGGGACTGAAGAGATGGCTCAATGGTTAGAACACTGGTCACCCCTCCAGGATCTGGGTTTAATTCCTGGCACCCACATGGTGGCTCACAACTGTCTGTAACTCTAGTCCCAAGGCCTCTGAGGGCACTAGGTATGTGTGTGTGGTACATAGACATGCATGCAGATAAAACACTCAAACACATAAAATAAATTAATTTTTTTAAGAAAAGAAATTCCATGGTCCATGCTGCTGCTTAGGGACATGTTGGTGTCCATGACTCGTATTACCACCAGAAGCCATGTTGATGTCTATGGTCCATGTTACCACCAAAGGCCATGCGGATGTCCGTGGTCTGTGCTGCAACCTGAAGCCATGTGGATATCTGTGGGCCATGATGCTGCTGGGGGCCATGTTGGTGTCCATGGCACTTGTTGCTGCTAGAGGCTATGTTGATGTCCGTGGCCTGGGCTGAAGCTGAGGAATAGGATGGGGTCTGAGGTCCATACTCTCACCCTGAGTTGTGTTGATGTCCATAGTCTTTACTGCTGCTGGAGGCATGCTGAGGTCTGTGCCCTGATCTCTCACCAGAAACCCTGTGAAAGTTTATAATCCATGCTGCTGCTGACTGTAATGAGTTAGGAAGCTTCTTTTGCATTGGTATCCATGTCAGGAAACTCAACAAGAGACAATGAAGGCTTTTGTGACAACCTCTCCCCTATCACCCCACCCTACCACTTGCAAAAAAAGAAATAGTCTAGACAGGAAGCCATTGAGAGAGCTCTTAAAATTGTGATGGGGATGCTGAAGTGTATCTCTTCACAGTTGATGGCTTCTGGTGGAAGGGGTGGGGAAGGACTCAGTTTTCTCTAAGTACTGGTCAATGGAGTTTGACCATGCTCCAGTGAGCACAAGAGCAACACAAATTGGACTTGATGTAATTTTTTCCTTCTTCTTCTTTTTGGGGAGGGCAAAAAGGTGGGGGTGGACATGGAAGGACTAGGAAGTGAGTGTGATTGGGTGTATTATGTGAAATTCCCAAATGATCAATAAAAATATTATGTTGGACAAAAAGGAGAGAAAAGAAATTCAAATGACCCCAACAATAACTAATTTTCCAAATTATTGCTTGTTGTAGAATATTACTTTAAGATGTGTTACTTTTGTTTGTGCTATGTAACTTTTGTTTAATGATGCAAAGATGTGTTGCATTCTTTTATGCTGCATTTGTTTAACTCTGTGAAGCTGTGTTACTTTGCCTGTCTAACACATCTGATGGTCTAATAAAGAGATGAATGGCCAATAGCGAGGCAGGAGAAAGGATAGGTGGGGCTGGCAGGCAGAGAGAATAAATAAGAGGAGAAATCTGGGAGGAAAAAAAAAAGAGAGCAAGAGAACAAGGAGAGGAGGATGCCAGGGGCCAGCCACCCAGCCACCCAGCCACCCAGCAACGCAGCCAACCAAGGTATAAGAGTGAAAGTAAGATATAAGAAAATGAAAAAGTCCAGAAGCAAAGGGTAGATGGGATAATTTAAAGTTAAGAAAAGCTGGCAAGAAACAAGCCAAGCTAAGATTGGGTGTTTATAATTAAGAATAAGCCTCCTCTATGAATGATTTATTTGGAAGCTGGGTGGTGGGCCCCCCAAAAGAGCAAAGAATAAAAAGACCAAAAATAACCAACTACAACTACTCATCTACAAATTATTGAGATTAAGTATTACAGAAGAGTCACTGCCAATTGTTAAAATAATAAAAAGAAGGCATTTCAGGGGGAAAAAAGTATTTTTGTTGGAATTATGTAATTGCTTGCTCAAATTTCTTTCAGTTTGGGACCTTAAAGGCCTTTGCAATTCTATTTTAAAATATGGGGAAAAGGGTAGCATTAAGAAATTTGAGCTTATATAATGAAAATACAGTCTTTTTCCCCCCACAAATCTCTGCCTGAAGACTGTACAAAGCAATGTCCAGGGCACTGGGTATTGGGAGTTAGAAGCTGGGGACAGGCATGCAATCACTCAGTCAAATAGAAAGCAAGCCCTAAAGGTATTTTTAGTAATGGAAAAAAGATAAATATATGCATGAAATTGAAGGCCACTGAGGTCCAGGGCCATTACACACAGTTGTGTCTGGGTGGGGGAAGGTGCACAGTGTAATTCCAGCTGACAATTGATAGGGACCTTAACAAGGCAAGTCTGGAATCGCTGCTTTCATTGGGGACTGGACATGGTACAGTCGTGTGTGTGTGTGTGTGTGTGTGTGTGTGTGTGTGTGTGTGTGTGTACATCACAATCACCCTGTGTGAAAGCTCTCAGCAGGGTAGAGAAAGCAGAAACCTAACCAGATGGAAAACGGTGAGAGTGAGCACATGGATAAGGGTCAGGTAGAGAGACCCGGCTGTGCTCAGGGGAGGGAACTGTGGTGAGATTCTGCCATTGTGAACCTGAAAGGAAAGAGAACAACACAAGATGAGAACCTGGGTCAGGAGCTTCTGAGATGAGCACCAGTGACTGAGACACAGACAGCAAATAGTCCAGTGCATTTACTGATGACAGGACCCTATGGGGGAAGTACTGGGCAATTCATATGTGAGTTCTCAGAAAGCTAGATCTAACCTTAGCAACATGCTCAAACAGCAATTGCAGATACCACCACAGCCTTGTAGTAGCATCCTGACTGTCACATGCATTCTCTAAGCCTCGGGTTAGCTTATAATGTCAGTCTGTATCATTTAGACACACGCGCATTCATTCTTCCAGCTTATCTCTTGTTGACGCTTTATCTCTACGTCCCTGCACTGTGTAAGACTGACAACATTCAACTAATTCTCCATCCCAGTGAGTTAGGCTAAGAACTTCATTGTGATATTTTAAAATGTCTCCAATTTCCTTTCATTTAAAATGGTGTTTGTGTTTATCTAAATACACCAACCATTACATTACCCAGAAGAAATTACATCACATTTGACTCAGTTTGCAACCACCACACATTTTGGTTATTTCAACATTAACTACCACAGAGAATAACTGGGATGACCAGCCTTGTATGCATGTCATTTTAAACCTGTGTGATTTAACACAAGTAGTTTCTTACAAATAAACTTATAGAAGTATAATTGGAGAGTTAAAGATAGCATACTGAGATGAAATCTCTTGAACATGCTGCTGAATTGCTCTCTGTGAGTTGTTTCAGAGAACACTCCTGCCATTCTGTAAGCAAAGCGCCCATTTCCCTACCTTTCCTGCTGTTTTCAATGCTCAGTGCTTGGTTGAGCCTCCCAGTTTCCTTGGTCACGTGCAGGCATATGGAGCACCTGTGAGGGAGTTAGGACATTCTTCCCTTAATGTGAAGGAACATGCCTGTGCACCAATGAGCTAAAAACACTGTAGCAATTCCAGAGCAGTGTGCAGATACGAGGTCCTTCCATCATGCCCTAGTCCAGCTCAGCGTCACTTCACGAGGGAAGCACACCTGATTTACTCTGCCTGCATTCTAAATTTAAGAGATTTTGGGTTGGGGATTTAGCTCAGTGGTAGGGCACTTGCCTAGCAAGTACAAGGCCCTGGGTTCAGTCCTCAGCTCGAGAGAGAGAGAGAGAGAGAGAGAGAGAGAGAGAGAGAGAGAGAGAGAGAGAGAGAGATTTAATAAAAATGCTTGTGGTCAATGGCATCTCTAGAAAATTCGTGTCTGTAATGTTTGTAAAGGTATAACTCACAAGAGCTAAGTGTGTTAGAAAAGATGCCCCCAAGGCCCTTGTAGATCCAACTTTGCTCATCTTTGTTACTGTCTCGCCCATGTTGGTATTTGAACTGAAGAGTTTGAACACCCTAAGTGCAGCTGGAGTAATAAAGACTTCTAAACTGAATTATAGTGTGGATTTTAATATACTGGATATTAAACCACAGCCTCTTAAAAATAGCAATAATTGCAGTAGGCTTGGCCTCTGATTTGGTAAGTCCTACCCAGTTGTACATTATAAAGAAATCTTGACTATAAAACACGTCCACAAATCTCTATGAAATGCATGGGTGAAAGGGTGAAGTACACATAGCTACAAACAATATAATTGCTAATCTATTATTTCAAATATATGTAACATTAAATTTCAAACATGAAATACAGGAATTTTGTTCACATATCCTCTCCAACATAATTCAACCTCAAATTATAATAAGCTCACTTGGAAAAATAATAGCCAATTAAAATTTTAAATATCTAAGCTTGTGATCAGAGGACAGAATTATATTCATTCTGCAAAGTCCAAAAGCATAATTAGGTATATGTCTGTGCATGGTGTCATAATTCTGCAGACAGTTAGTTATGCTAGACCATGTAGGAATGAAGGCCTGTGAAATAGGTGTTCTGAAGTCCTTCCAATTGCAACATAAATACAGTTGTGCAGAATAAAGACGACAAAACCCTCAGGAGAAAATTTGCCAGAAGACATGAAGATAAGCACAGCTTTGTCAGAAGAAGGAGACCCAGGGTTTTATTTTAGCAAATCTTAGTTAAATAGATCAAGAGGATTTATGCTAAAGTTTGTAAGTAATATAGAGTTGCTTTAAAGCATAACGCATGGGACTTAAGACACCCTTATGATCATAAAGGGATTTATATGACAGGTAAGAAAGAGGCCGCATTCAAGTGAGTTTTATGTCAATGACTGTTAAGATAAAAATGAATGTTTTGTTCACCCAGGCATCTATTGCCCTGTGAATATGCAAGAACAGTAGCAACAGATTAGGTGACTGAAGGCTTATATAGGTATTAGCTAATTTTCTTGCTGTGACAATATACCCCGACAAAAGCAACAAGGTCTTATTTGGACTCAGAGTTCCATGGGACAGTCCATCATGTTGGGAAAGTCATGGGAGAAAGAGCTTGAGACAGCCAGTCACATGGTACCCAAGGTCACGTGGTATCCACAGTCAGAAAGCATAGGGAGATGGATGCTGGTGACCGGTTAGCCTGCTCCTTTGTTGTACACTCCTGGACCCATGCCTAGAGAAGGTGCAGCTCTCCCTTCGGGTGCGACTGCTTACGTCTTTTAACTTACTCAGGATAATCCCTCATACGCATGGAGCAAGGCAGCTTCTTCAATAAATGTGGTGGAAAAACCGGATCCCCACACCTGAAGATGAAAACGGAGCCCCAGCTCTCGCCATGGGCACAGATCAACTCAAAATAGATTTTTAGGAACCATACTGCAATACCTGAAACCATTAGGAAAAAAAGGGGAAGAAAATCACTTCAAGACATAGGTATAGGCACAGACTTTCTGAAAAGGTCTCCAATAACTCAGCAAATAACATCAAGGATTGGCAGATGAATTGTATGAGATTAAAAGGCTTCTGCACAGCAAATGCACAGTTAATTTAGTGGAAAGACAGCCTACAGAACCAGAGAAAAATGTTTGATAGCTATACATCTGACAGAGGGTTGGATCTTGGAAGATATTAGGAACTCAAAAAAAAAAAAAAAACAAAACCTCAATATAAGAAAAAATGCCTATCCAAGTCAATAATGAATAAGCAGACGGGTCTCAAAAGATGAAAGTACAAGTGGACAGGCAATATATGAAAAATTGTTTAACATCTTTATCTACTATAAAAATGCAAATTAAAATTGTGCTGGAAAAGATCATATTAGTGAGGTAACCCAGACCCAGAAAGACAAACATTGCATGCCCTCTCCCATCAGAGTCTCCTAGCTCCAAATCTGGAGATGTGAGTGCATAGCCTGGAGTAACTGCAGAGAGCAGGAAAGCGCAGAGGGGCTGTTGCTAGGGTAGGGAGTTCGGGGAAAGCAGGAGTGAGGGGGATAACAGTGTACAAGTGATTCCATCAAGGAAATGAGGAAAGGGGGCTCTAATGGGGCATGGGGAAGGAGATAAATTTAGAACAGTGAGATACGAGGGTAAAATGCCATAAGGACTCATGAGAGTAACTGTCTACCTCAAAAAAATCTATAAAACATATACATCTGTGTATAGATACACATAATATAGTTAAAATGAAATTTTCTCACCTGGAATGAGAGTGCTCCCCTCCAGAGCTTAGGACCTCCTAACACAAACCCCACCACCAGTCATGAGAAGCTTCTTTCAAGTTGTTGGTCAGAGCTGTCCAAGAGACTCCCCAAATATTACAAACTACTATTATTGCTCTTGGTTGACCACAGCAGTAAGTACCTATTGCAAAAAATACTAGGCACTTCAGTTACAGAACACAGCGGCTCCTAAATTGGAACTGACCTGAATGCCTTCTCCCTAAAGGCAAGTTCTCATGGTACCAGGAGGTACTGTGCAAGCTTCCAAAAGAGAAGCGACAGTTTTACTCAGCCAAGAAATCTATGAACCATGGCAATGATGAGCGTGATATGATGACCCTAAGAGTGCAGTCATCGCACACATACCATGGTGTTAACCAAAGCTATCTCATTGGAATCAAGACCCTCTCAACAAGAAGTTAGCATGCCTGGTAATAAAAACCTAGCCAAGTACCCAGAGCTAGTGAACTTATGGATGTTGAAGGAGAACCTATAACCACCACTTTACTGAACCAGCACAATCCCTAACTACATTCTAAATATGTGTCTTTATACCCACAGACAAGTGTGGTCCTTACCGCTCATCAGGGAAACTTCTCTTAGCAACAAACAAAGACCATCACAGAAAACCATAATCAATCAAAATGCAGAGTTGTGTATCTAGTCCCAGTGGATACATCTGCAAAACAACTCCAACACCCAAAGCTCAGAGTACTTTGTGGAAGAGAAGGTAGAAAGATCTTAAGATCAAGGAGTTTGCTGTGAGACTGTGCCTCCCAGTAACTTCAGAAGCTGCACCCAAAGTCTCACCAACATGATTGCCTAACAAAGACAACAATAGACGTGCCAAAGTGAATGGGTGAAGGCCCAAGAGGCCTCAGCCCTGCACAAAGAACTTCAGGCAGCTAAGGAATGCTGAGACTGGAAGAAACAGCCTTCCCCAAGAAAGAGAAGAACAGTTGGTTGTCCAATAGCAAGTGGTCAGCCTTGAAAACATATGTACAAGTAACATTATGTAGACTGAGTTGGATGGATTTATATATTTAGGAATATATATCATTTATGTATATAACAACAATTTTTAAAAGAGGCCACAACTTTGAAAAGGGAAAATGAGGGTTCAAGGAGAGAGTTTGGAAGGAAGAGAGAGAAAAAGAAAGTGAAATTATATTATGATCTCAAAAATAAAAGAAATGATATAAAAAGCAATAGAAAAGCTACAGAGTATTGTGTGAGTAATATCTGAATAAAGATATTTTAAAACTAAAGTTATTGATAAAAGAATGAAGGTAGACCAACTAAAGAGATGTATGCTTTAACCAGAGAACAATGAAGCAATAAGATTTAAAAAACAAACAAACAAACAAAACCAGGCTGTCGACAGTGGTGCATGGTTTTAATCCTAGTACTGGGGTGGGGGGGCAAAGGCAGACAAATCTCTGTGAGTTCAAGGCCAGCCTGGTCTACAAAGTAAATTCTAGGACAGCCAGGGCTGTCACACAGAAAAACCCAAATCTCACCCCAAAAAAAAAAAAAAAAGAATAGAAGAGTCTATCTCATCCCAATAAGAATGGTTATCATAAAGAAAGCAAACAAGAAATGCGGTGGGAATGTGAGGCAAGGGGAACCCTTCTTTCTTGCTGATGAGAGTGTACTGGTAAAGCCACTACGAGAGTCAGTTGTGGGAGGCCAGCTCCCACCTTCCCCAGGGTCCCTATGAGGAAGAGAGCTGCATAAGAAAATATTAGATAGAAAAAAAAAGTGGAGAGGAGAAAGAAACACAGAGGACCTGGGTCAATACCCAACAGCCTTTCCTGTTTATTCAAAATGGCTTTTTATAACAATGCCAAGGAGTGGGGCAAAAGACCCCCTTGCTAGGTCAAGCAAGCACATTGCATAGCCAAGTGTAGACCCTTCCAAACACCTGGTAACCACGCCTGTGGTCAAATCATCCACTTATGCAGCCCTGCTGGGTAAAGCAAGCTCAGATTCTCGGACCCTATGTACGTTCTCACCAGGAAACCTCTGTGGATCTCCGCAGTCAGTGTGGATTTTTCTTTAAAAATTAGAAATAAACTTCCATAAGACTGAAATATACCATTCTGGGTATATACTCTATGTATCACAGAGACACTTGCATATCTTTGTTTTTGGAATATTCACAATACCCAAGTTATAGAAGCAGCCTAGGTATCTGTGACGGCTATTAATAGTTGTTTACTTGACTACATCTGGAACTAAAATCCAAAAATGGAGAGCACACCT